TCCCTCTCTCTCTGGTGAGCACACTCATCCTATAGCAAATTTAAAAAAGAAAAAGAATATTACAATGATTTGTCTGAGAATGAATTACTAAATAGTCATCAGAGTATAACTTCAGGACAGGGTGAATGATGGTGGCAGTAAATGGGGAAGCGATAGGGACTGCCTAGCTTCACAAGGAGTGCCTTCTTGAGACCAGCAGTTGGCGTAATGGCTATGTTGCTGGGCTTTCATGTGGTCAACCACGGTTTGAGTCTTGGACCCAGTGGCTTAAACTAGAGCCGGGCATGTGTGCATGCATGCCCAAAAGAGGAGAATGGAGGAGAAAGGATTGTGGCATGACCATCCCCTTTGGGGGGTGATTTCTCACTTTCTGTCTCCCTGTTTCTCTCTGTCTCTCTGGTAAGTGCACGTGCTGTATAGAAAAAAATCTCTCAAAAAAAAAAATTAAGTGGTGTCTTCTTGGAAGCAGAGCATGTCAGGCATCTCTGACTGTGTCAGAGGGAGTTCCCAGACCACTCACCCTATAAGAGAGCATCCCCTCAGCCACCACTGAGGTGAGTGCTCAGTCACACTTACTCAGCAGCCATGAAAGGCCAGGTATTGGGCTCAGCGTTAGTAATTTGGCAGTGAGCCAAGTAGCCACACTCCTGTCTTGTTGGTGTGGAGGAGGAGCTGGGGATTAAACAAGAGACCACACTACTCATTGTGGACATATGGATTGTAACTGAGCTGTAGAGAAGTGCCGGGCACTATGAGAGCGTGTGACCAGGTTGATTGTCTGGTAGGGAAACATCTCCACAAAGGAGGCATTTGAGGTCATGGGGACCCTATTGGGTATGAGTGAGGAAGAGAGTGTTCCAGACAGAAAAATGCAAGTGGGGAGGCCCCAGGGCGACAGGAGGCTTAGTGTGGTAGACTTCAAAAGAAAACCAGAGCAGGGACCAGCAGTTGGCGTAATGGCTATGTTGCTAGACTCCCATGGAGTCAACAGCGGTTCGAGTCCTGGACCCTGGTGGCTTAAACTGATTCCGGGCGCATGTGCGTTTGTGCCCAAGATCCCGAGAGGAGAACGGAGAAGAAGGCATTGTGGTGTGGCCATCCCCCCTGGGGGGTGGTTTCTTGCTTTCTGTCTCTCTCTGTCTTTCTGGCAAGCGCACATGCCCTATAGCAAAACCTCTCAAAAAGAAAGGAAGGAAGGAAGGAAGGAAGGAAGGAAAGAAGGAAGGAAACCAGAGCATAGGGGTTGGAGGTGGGGGTGAGGAGAGGTGCATGAGGTGAGGCTGGAGAGGTGGGTAGGGACAGATCATCAGGACTCTATGAGCCTTCAGAAGGGTCTGGAATTTTTCAGAAACTCAGTGGGAAGCCACCGAAGGGTATGAACCAGGAGGTTGTATTATCCAAGTTGCTCTTCAAGATGCCACACTGGCTATTATGAATGGAACGGAGAGGAAGGGGCAAGAGCGGATTTAGGGAAACCCATTAGGAGGCTTTGCTAAAGTCTTGGCAGTAGATGAATGGAGGGTGTTTTGGTGCACAGTGAAGGATGTGGAGCTGCAGCAGAGCAGATAGATCAGGGTTTATTGTTCAATGATTATTTCCATATGATGCAGTAGACGTGGGGAGTGTAGGTTAAGGAGGAGTAATTGGGTGAGTGGAGGTGCTGTTAGTGAAATGGAAAAGATTTTCTCCTCACATATTGGTCTGGTTAATACCTTCTTTCCATTTAGACCTTAGATCAGAGATGATTTCTTTTCTTTTTTTTTAAACATATTTATTTATTTATTGTGATTTTTTTTTAAGCTGCTAGGTCTGGGACTTGAACCACACCACCTACTGGTCCCCAGAGATTATTTCTTTTTTTTTTTTTTTTTTTTTTTTGAGAGATTTTCACTGTAGGGCACGTGCGCTCGCCAGACAGACAGAGAGAGACATAGAGACAGAAAGCGAGAAATCACCCCCCAGGGGGGATGGTCACGCCGCAATCCCTTCTCCTCCATTCTCCTCTCGGGATCTTGGGCACGCACGCACACGCGCCCGGCGTGAGTTTTATAAGCCACCGGGTCCGGGACACGAACCGCGGTCGACTACGTGGGAATCCAGCGACATAGCCATTACGCTAACTGCTGGTTCCCTCCAGAGATTATTTCTTAAGGGACGTCTTTCTCAAACCCTACTAGTCTCTTCTCTGCTGACATGGATTCCCATAACCTTATGTAACTGCTCCTTATAGTATTCAACACAGTTGTAATTTCACATGTTTGTAATCTCTTCTCACAGACCTCTTCCTTCTATTGTATCTCTTTTTAATTTTTATTAATTTTTTTTTTAATCTTTAGAGGTTTTTTTTTTTTTTTTTTTTTTTGAGAAGTTTTTAGTCCTGTTGGCTCTACCTTCAAAGTTTTTCTAGAATGTGACCACTTCTTACCCCTTTCAGCACCAGCTCCCTGGTCTGAACCACCATCATCTCACACTAGTTAAGTGAGTTGTTTTCTTTTAATTTTTTTTCTTTTTTAGAATTATTTATTTAATTTTATTTATTCATTCACTTACTTTAATTTGACCAGAGAAAGACACAGAGAGAGGGAAAGTGAGAAAGCAAGCCACTAGGTTTGGGTTTCAAACTGCGGTTAGCCATGTGGGAGTGTCCAGTGCCTTAACCACCACGCCACCTGCTGGTCCCTGCTTCCCCCAGGAAGACCTGTACCTGTCTACATCCCAACAGTCTGCTCTCAATCTGGCAGTCAGTGTGACCATGTGAAAACCTGAGCAACATCTTGCCACTCCTTTGCTCATTTCATGCAGAGCTAATAAAGTCCTTAGAGTATCCCTGTAGGCCCTACGTGATCTGACCACTGTGGCCTATCTTCTACTGCCGTCACACTGTGTGTTTGATTTCTGTTACTCCTTCTTCCCCTTCTTCGGCTCCCATATCATATGGGCCTCCCTGTGGTTCCTCTAACACACCAGGCAGACTCCTACCTTAGGACACTTGTGCAGCCAGTTTCCCTGCTGTACTTTCTTTCACTATAAACCAACGTGGCCAATGCAAATCTTTACTCAAATCTTATCTCTTCATGGAAACCTACCTGTCCTTCTCTATTTGAAATTGCAGGGGCTCGGGCCAGCATGAGGTGTGGTGGTTAAGGCACTGGACTACCACATGGCCGACCATAGTTCGAGTCCTGGACCCAGCAGCTTGAAAATTATGCTGGTGGGACCAGCAGATGGCATAATACTTATATTCCTGGACTCCTACGTAGTTGACTGTGGTTTGAGTCCCAGACCCAGTGGCTTAAAATCCACACCAGGCACGTGTGCATGCATGCCCAAAGTCCTGAGAGGTGACTAGAAGGGAAGGGATTGAGGTGTGGCCATCCCTCCTGGGGGGCGATTTCTTGCTTTCTGTCTCTCTCTCTGGTGAGTGCATGTGCCCTATAGCAAACAATCTCTCAGAAAGAAAAAAAGAGAAAATCATGCTGGGTATGTGCATGCCTGCCCAAAACCCTGAGAGGAAAATAGAGGAGAATGGGTGTGTTAGAAGGAAAAAGAAAGCCTGCTCTGGGTGACAGAAGAGAATTTCTCCATTTGCATTTCTGATTCTTGTTTTCTCTTTCTTCAGGCTGTCGCAGAGGAGGAATGATTGGGAATAGCCTTTCTTTGTGCTATCACAACAAACTAATCTTAGCCCCTATGGTTCGGGTAGGGACTCTCCCAATGCGGTTACTGGCCCTGGACTATGGAGCAGACATTGTTTACTGTGAGGTAAGGGGCTCCTGGCTTTCCTGGAGGCCTTTTCTACTCGTATAACCTTTCTATTTGTGTGTGGGAGTGGCTGGGAGATGGGGGAGACAGAATGGAAACTCAGAACGGTTCACTGTCATGACCCCTTTAAAAGCTAATATCCAGGGCTGACTCCATGGCCTGGTGGTTAAGGCAGCTGGATCCTACATGACCGACCCTGAGGTCTGAGTCCTGGGCCTGGTGCTTGAGAAACACACTAGGCAAGTATGTGTGCGTATGCCTGCCCCAAATCCTGCCAGAATGGATAAAAGGATGGAGAAGGGATTGTGGCATGACCATTCCCTGTGTGTGTGTGTGTGTGTGTGTGTGTGCAATGCTCACTCGCTTTCTCTCTCTCTCTCCCTCTCTTTCTCTGGTGAGCACACACACTGTCTGGCAAAACCAAAAAAATAAAAATGAGGGGGCCAGCAGGTGGCATGGTGGTTAAGGCGCTGGACACTCTCGCATGGCTGACCATGGTTCGAGTCCAGGACCTGGTGACTTGCTTTCTGACTTTCCCTCTCTCTCTCTCTGTTTCTGGTCAAATTAAAATAAATGAATGAATAAATAAAATAAATAAATAAATATTAAAATAAAATTAGGAGGTAGTGTCCACTTCATGTATGAACGAATGAGCTCAGAGGTCAGGAGGAAGAAGAAAAGGACAAGATTCAGTATAAGGAAGCTGAATGAGTTTGGTTTTGGTAAGTGTAGAATTTTTCTGGTAGTGGTAACTAGTGGGTCAGTAGATGTACTTGCTGGCCAGGGACAGCAGGTGGCGTGGTGGGTAAGGCATAGCATACTCCCACATGGCTGATCACGGTTCGAGTCCTGGACCTAGTGGCTTACTTTCTCACTTTCTCTTTCTCTCTCTCTGTCTCTCTGTGGTCAAATTAAAATAAATTAATGAATAAATAAAATTAAATAAATAATTCTTTAAAAAAGGAAAAGATATACTTGCTTGTCACACTGGAGAACATTAGTACTTTGGTACCAAGTTCAAAAACATAAGCTAAATCAAATTACAGAAGTAGCTGATAGTATGGGCTCATCAGAAAAGTCATGACCCATTTTTGCATAGGAAAACAGGAAAAATACACATGACTTTTCCTACGACCTAATAGATAAGAAGTATGACCAGTAGTTCTCAATTGGTCAAATATGAAATTCCTGGGACACTTCCCTCAATCCCTCATCATGATATATTCACCTACTGGGTGTGAGAAATTTAAGAAGATACCCAAGTGCTTCTGATATCTCCGTCTTTAATGGTACTGGTGGTGGGGGTAGAAGGGGAGATGACTATGGACTTTTTTTTTTTAAGAGATGTTTTGCTAAAGGGTGCATGTACTCGCTGGAGACACAGAGACAGACAGACAGAAATCACTCCCCAGGGTGGATGGCCATGCCACCATCCCTTTTCCTCCAGTTTCCTCTTGGGATTTTGGGCCCGAATGCACACACGCCCAGTGTGAGTTTTAAGCTGCCTGGTCTGAGACTCGAACTACAGTCAACTACATGGGAGTCCAGTGACACAACCATTACGTGATCCACTGGTCCCAGGAATTTTTTTTTTTTTTTAGTGAGATTTTTGTTAAAGGTTACGTGCGCTTGCAGAGAGACAAAAGGCAAGAAATGAACCCCCAGGGGAGATGGCCATGCCACAATCCCTTCTGTATTCTACTTTCAGGATCTTGAGCACTACACACACACGCCCTGCATGAGTTTCAGACCCCCGGGTCTGGGATTAGAACTATGATGGACCACATAAGTCCAGCAATGTAATCATTACGCCATCTGCTGTCCCAACAGTAGGAATTTTATTTTGATTTTAGTTTTAATTGTATGTATACTAGCCAGAGAAAGAGAGAGAGAAAGGGAGAAAGTGACCCTCAATGGGACATGGTAATACCACAATCCATTGTCCATTTCTTCATCCTGTTGGGATTTTGGACATGTACACACATGTGCCTGGGATCCTGGGCATCCATGCACATGTGCCCAGCATGAGTTTTGAGCCACCGGGTCCAGGATTCTAACTGTGGTCAGCCCTGTGGGAGTCCATGTTTTATGAGCCACTGGGGCAGGGATTGGAACCATTGTCAACCATGAGGGGATCTGGTTCCCTTAACCACTAGACTACAGGGCCGGCCTGTTATTTTCTTTTCTTATTTTTTTAAGAATTATTTATTTTATTTTACTTATTATTATTATTTTTTCTTTAATTTGCCCAGAGAGAGACAGAAAGTGAGAAAGCAAGCTGCCGGGACTAGGATCTGGACTGTGGTCAACCATATGGGAGGGAGTCTAGCGCCTTAACCACTATGCTACTTGCTGGCCCGTCAACCTGATATTTTCAAAGAACAGTTTTGATGTCTGATTTTCTCTATTGTTTCTCCATTTTCTTTTTTTAAAGAATTATTTTTTTAAATTTTATTTTATTATTATTATTATTTAACTTGCTCTAGTCATCAGAGAGAGACAGGGAGAGAGAAAAAGAGAGAGAGAGAGAGAGAGAGAGAGAAAGTGAAAAACAAGCCTTCAGGTTCAGGACTTGAACCGTGTTCAGCCATGTGAGAGTCTAGCACCCTTAACCACCATGCCACCTGCCAACCCCCTCTTTAGTTTCTTAAGACAGAAGTTTAGATTGTTGATTTGAGATGAAAAAAGATAGATATTTATAGTTATAAATTCTCCTGTAAGCACATTTTCACTACACCCTATAAGTGTTTCTTGATTTTTTTTCTTTTAAGAAGTTTTCAGTAGGTGATGTGGTGGTTAAGGGCGCTGGACTCCCACATGGTCAACTGTGGTTCAAGTCCTGGACCTGGCGACTTGCTTTCTCACTCCCTGCCACCCCCTTACTCTGTTCTTCTCTGGCCAAATTTAAATAAATAAAGTGAAATGAAATAATTCTTTAAAAAAAAGAGGTTTTTGCCCTAGGGTGCATACTCACTGGAGAGATAGAGATAGTGAGAGGGAAAGTGAGAAAACACCCCCTGGGGAATGGCCATGTGGTAATCCCTTCTCCTCCATTCTGTTGCGATCTTGGGCTTGCTTACACACATACCCAGCATGAGTTTCAAGCCATCCGGTCCAGGATTCTAACTGTGGTCAGCCATGTGGGACTCTGGCAAAGTAACTGCTACTCCATCTGCTTGCCCACACACTATGTTTTGATATATGCATGAGTATAAATAAATACACCCACATACACACACAGACGTGTGCACACACACACACACACACACACACACACACACACACAGCACAACATGTCTTACAAGCTATAATTTATTTTTGGTAGTAGGAATGATTGGTCAAGCAGTCTCCATCAAGGGTGTAATGAATCCTCTCCCCATGCATAGGGTCTACATGTTCAGGACTGACCAGTATCCTCTGATTCCTCCACAGGAGCTGATTGACCTCAAGATGCTTCAGTGTAAGAGAGTTGTCAATGGTGAGTGCAACCCCAGCCCCAGGATGACGGTGTCCTGCCTGACTGCATTGTATTATTTTACAAATGACATGCTTCGTTGAAAGCATTCACTGATCTCTAGAGGCTGTGCGGAAAAGCCAGACATAAAACAGGCTTAGAATGCCTTCTTCCTGCAGGCTTGCTAGCAGGGAAATCACCGTGCGTTATAGTACCGGACAGATCCTTCAGAGCCTTGGAGTTAGGATGGCTTCAGCACTGCTCTGTCTTCGTCATTTGCTAGATGTGTGACCTGGGACAAGTCACATGACATCTCTCTGCCTCATTTTTTTAATAAAATAAAAATCATAATCCTTGTCTTATTCAAATCATGAGGTTTGAGTTGGCTCAAATAAGGTACATGCACGTTCTTTGTACATCTTAGGTGCTGTGCAGATGTAAGTGGTTGTGATAACTTGTGGTTTTGCTTATACTTTATTGATGAGGCTGATTCTGCTTTGGTAGAGTTGTGATATTCTCTGAGGTTTTGGAGATACATGTCTGTTTGTGGAATCTTAATATGATTTCACTAGAGTTCTGACTCAGTTTCGTCTAATTGTTTTTTTTTTAAATAATTATTCTATTTAACTTTATTTATTATTATTATCATTATTTTTTTCCAGTTTGATCTGAGAGAGACAGAGATAGAGAGGAAGTGAGAAAGCAAGATACCCGGTCCGAGACTTGAACCGTGGTCGGCCATGTGGGAGTCCAGCGCCTTTAGCTACCATGCCACTTGCCAGCCCCTCGTCTAATTGTTATAAACTTACATTTTCTTTTTCATACTATGAAAAATTCAATATTATGGCTCTTTTTAATTTTTTTCTTTTTTCTTTTTAAAAATTTGCTATAGGGTGCATGTGTTCACGGGAGAAAGATAAGAAGAGAGACAAAGTGAGAAAGTACCTCCACGGGGAGGACCACGCCACAATCTTTTCTCCTCCATTCTCTTCTCTTTTTTTGAGAGGTTTTTTGCTATAGGGTGCGTGCGCTCACCAGACAGACAGAGAGAGACAGAGAGACAGAAAGCGAGAAATCACCCCCCCAAGGGGGGTGGCCACGCTGCAATCCCTTCTCCTCCATTCTCTTCTCAGGATCTTGGGCACGCACGCACACGTGCCTGGTGTGAGTTTTAAGCCACCAGGTCTGGGACGCGAACTGCGGTCGACTATGTGGGAGTCCAGCGACATAGCCATTACGCTAACTGCTGGTCCCCTCCTCCATTCTCTTCTCAGGATTTGAGTATGCACAGATATATGCACCTGGTTTGTTTTTGGAGAGGTTTTTGCTATAGGGCGTGTGTGCTCGCCAGACAGACCCAGAGAGACAGAAAGCTAGAAATCATCCCCCGGAGGATTGACCACACCGCAATCCCTTCTCCTCCATTTTCCTCTCGGTTTCTTGGGCACGTTCACATATGTACCCAGTGTGAGTTTTAAGTCACTGGGTCCGGGACTCGAACCATGGTCAACTACATGGGAGTCCAGCGACATAGCCATTACGCTAACTGCTGGTCCCACCTGGCATGTTTTTTAAGCTGCTGGGTCTGGGACTCGAAATGTACATTTGGCCACATGCTATCCAGCAGCCTTAACTACCTCACTACTTGGCTGACCCTATTATACCTCTATGTATCTTAGAAAATGAAAATCTGGTCCAGCTGTGATGCATGTGCTCACTACTGCTGCTTGGCAGGCTGGGGCCACATGGGAGACCCGCATTCCATTTCTGACCCACCCTAAAACAGATTGGAAGGGGCCAGCCAGGTGGTTTGGAGGGAGGTTAAAGTGGCAGGATCCCACATGGCTCAATATGCAGTTTGAGTCTGGACCTGGTTGCTTAGAAAATATCTCTGAATCTCTGGTGAGTGCACACAACCTAAAGCAAAAAAAAAAAAAAAAAAAAGGCTGGGTAA